AAGCATAGGTACATCAATGTATTCAATGACGTGTATAGAATTTGAACACATTCAATGACATGTCTATGCCATATGGTGGCATTTTTGGGTTATATGTGGCATTTGAAGGTAATCAGTGACAAGTGCATGCTACACGTGGCAGCATATATGGATTTCATGTGACATTTGGATATAATCAATAACAAGTTTGTGCCATGACGTGTATAGAATTTGAACACATTCAATGACATGTCTATGCCATATGGTGGCATTTTTGGGTTATATGTGGCATTTGAAGGTAATCAGTGACAAGTGCATGCTACACGTGGCAGCATATATGGATTTCATGTGACATTTGGATATAATCAATAACAAGTTTGTGCCATGTGGCAATATATATGGATGCCATATGGCATTTGAATGTGGTTAATGACATGTTTGTTCCATTTGGCAGCATATATAGATGCTGCATGGCAGCATAAATGGATGCCATGTGGCATTCACTCGTGTACAACATCTTGTTGTATCCAAATGCCTTTATTTACTTTTACTTTGAAAAGTATGTTTCTGAAAAATTTTCATCCAAATGGTTTTCAAAGTAAAAGTATGAAAGTAGAAGTGTTACATGTGCTTTGTACTTTCATACTATCAATAGTACAAAGCACAAAGTATTGCTGAACAAGGTCTAAGAATTTAAGACCCTAACATGGGCTTGTCCGGGCTTGCCTCAAGGGTATCGATATAAAGTGGCTTGTAGAACTAGAGTAATGCAATTAGGAAACAAATAAAGAGATTGGAAGTTTCACCTTTCACATGCTTGCATTTTTAATTAATATTATTTTTGCAAATTTTCTGATTTTTTTTTTGCATTTTTATACTTTCTTTTAGAAATTTTTGAAAAATTTGCGTCTCGCTTCAAAAAGGCACATGCTTGAGGCGTGCCTTTTAAATCACTGGGTTTGGCAAACTGCCACTCCTTGCATTCACCGAGCCACCAACCTTTTTTTCTCCTTGCATTCACCGAGCCACCAACCTTTTTTTTTCTAATTTTTTGATAAATAACAGAATTGTATTGGAAGCTGAAATCTTTGTTGAAGTTTGACCTGCCCTAGAATTCTGTCTTGTTCGTTGACTGTAAGGTAAAGTAAACAGCAAGAAGTAGGAGAGGAAAGAAGAAGAGAGAAAAGAGAGGGAAGAGAGAAAGGCTGGTTCGAATTAGAGAAAAAAGTAATCC